GCTCCTCCAAGGGAGGGAAAATTCGTTTTGCATCTGTACATGGCGAGGCACATAATCACACTTCTCATACATTGAGCGTGGTGCCCTGTGCCACCGTCAGCCCTACAGCACCTCTAGAGTATTTCAGTCTTAAGATGTATTCATGCAAATGGGTAAATGTCAGCAGGTTAATATTACTTATGCATACCAATCATTCAAAGGGGAAAAAGAGATCCATTTTGGTCCAGATTATTTTGAATATAAGACTTTTAATTCCAAAGGTTTCTGGTTTGTTGAAGGTTGTTGTTCCCCAGAAAAATATTTGGTAAGTGAAAATGTAAAGGTGACCACTGCCCAAAGGACCTAGAATTTCAAAGAAAACTGGGCACCAGAAGATGAAGAGAGAAAGGGCAGGAAGCCTTCTTTTTCTGTTCTCTCAGGCTTTCCCACCAGGTCGCCGTTTCTAATCGACAAGGCAAATAATTTCTAGTCAGTAACTGATAACAAAGCAAATTAAATTTCATTTGGCTTGAAAAAGTATTCCAATATGCTTATGAGTTGGCATAAACTCATTCTAAGAAATTTAACAGTATACATATTTCTTTTACTACTAATTCCTCAATGAGGAATTCCTCAAAACAAAAATAAAAACCACTGGAAAAAGGAAAAATGCCTACCTTAAATGGGGGAGGAGCTGATATTTTTTAAAAAGAATTTTGACAATTTGAAGAAGCAAGCTGAGAGACAAATTTTTCTTTGAGGAACTCCAGTTAATCATTTTCCTATCATAAATCACTTTAACTACTAAGGACACTTTTTTAAAAATTCTATAAATTATACACCATAATGGTGACATAATCTCTCCATTAAAAACTTGATGACAAAAATGAGCACTTGCTAAAAAGTTCTAATCAGTACAGGCAACCAATCAAAAGAGCTTTATAACAAAAGTCAAATTAAATGGACATCCTTTTTCCTTACACCCTCACCCCTGCAATGATGTATACCACTTAACTTTCTCCTATTTGCTCAGGAGAAAAATATTTAAAATTTTGTTAGGATATAACAAACACACACACTTTGTGAGCATGTATCCCCATGAATGCTTGCCGTTAAAATGTCCTCTTTATTGCAAAATAATCTCAAAATGTTTACAGTAATCATGTTGCTGGTGGTGCTGTTATTCTTAGATTGTTGTGTGCACGTTGTGGAATAAAGCAGATAAGTAATTACACTGGTGTCTCTAGGCCCTGTGATTGTCAGCATGGTAGAAAAAAGAAACAGATGTAAGACAGATGAGGTAAAAGAAAAACCTGGCAGTCCTGAATTTGAATTAGAAGTTTCAGTTTGAACTCATAATAATTTTACCTTTAAACAACATATACAGCATATATTGTTATCTACTAATTCTGTCCAATGAAAAGACCAAGAAACACAGACCAACCCAGCAACAATGATCACCTGTAGTGCCAAGATTATGCTCTCTTAAATACTAAAAGGACCAAAGTTCTTTGGAGAAATGTCTGAATCCAGGTTTGCGTCAGACCACGGACGAGAAAAGCCAGAAACATCTTTAATACCAGGAAGCAAAGAAGCTATCCAAGACTACTAAAGACATGTCAAAAGGACCCAAAAGCCAATTAATTTGAAGAGGTTCCCACAGCCCAAAAAAGGACAATTGAAGCATAAGGATATAATTTTAATGAATTGAAATACTTCAAATATGTTTAAGTATATAAGTTAATACATAAATATTGACAATAATAAACTTACTGGTCACTTTTGGAGGATGCTAGGGAACCAATGCATTACAACTGATAAATAAAGAGAAAGGATCTGTGATATCTTCTATCTCATGATAACCAAATGGCTAATGAGGGCAACTTTCTCTATATAAAGTATATGAGCTAATAAATGAAAAAGAAATGATGAAATATCATCATTTTGCAACCTCTAATGAATTATTGGACCTAGACAATGATCGTTAACTACTACTAACATAAAAAGAGAGAAATTTGGACAGTATTCCTTCTAATAGAAGTACGACCTAATGGTCTTGGCAAAAAAAAAAAAAAAAAAAAAAGTTGGACCTGAATCCAATAAAGACTCGTACAGAAATACCAATGTAGAAGAGATATCATAGGGGTGAAATCAGCAAAATCTAGATTGTGGAAAGCTCTATAGGACAAATGACTAGTTTTTTTAAATAAGTGGCAGGGGAGAGAGAGAGGAGAAGCTATAGGTTAAGAAACATAGGAGACATATCAATCAATTGCAAGGTATAGACCTTATGCTAATCCTCATCTGAACAATGTATGGACCTGATGTTAATCTTGATTCAAATTAACCGTTAAAAATATCAATGAGATTATTGGAGAAATTTGAAAACTGACTAAACATATTATGTTATTAAGGAAGTATTGCTGATTTTTATGTAGGACAATGGCATTGTGTTTATTTTTAAGAATCTTTATCTTTTAGAGATATATGCTAAAATATTTATTAATGAAATAATATGATGTCTGGGATTTGCTTCAAATAATCTTTGGGGAAGGAGAAAGTGTTAGGGGTATAGATGAAAAAAGATTGGCCATGAGTCAATAATTATTCCATCTGAACACTGGCTATACAGAGGTTCATCACACCATTAGTCTCTCTACTTCATAAGTTTGACATTTTCCTTCATAAAAAGTTAAAAGATATACTTGTTTGAAATTTGGCAATGAATGTCAGGTCACTATGGGAAATCCTTAGACAATAAAATCCACACAGCTAAAGTTAGGATATAGATTTAAATCATAGTGGAGATAGCAGTCTTTGAGGTCATTTTGATCAACCTTTTGTCACCCAACCATATTTTACCAAAACCATCCATTCTGTTCATTTCTCAAACACTAGCGTAGTTGTCTTCTTCGGTTGCAATACTCAGTGAAGCAACCAGACAGGAATAGACTCAGTGAAGAAAACAGCAAGAAAGCATCATAAAATCATTTTAACTTTCTTTCTACTTTTATTTTGGTAATTCTACCAATTGACTGATACGTGCAAATTAATTTTACCAGGTGAGCTTTTTCCCACGAGACACAGCTTTCTCATCACAGCCAGTAGGAAAATGAATCTCCCAAAGCCACTCTCTCTCAGTTCTTGTCGTACAATCCACGCATCTGTGACAGCGCTGTCTCTTTGAAAGCTCACGGCAAAAGCAAACACGATATGAACACATAGGAACATAGGCATGCTAAGCTCTTCTCCGATACCCCAAAATGATTCCAGGGCTTATAGCTACGACTGAGGGATACCCCAAGGGCTAACAACTGTGACTAATGAAAAACCAAATATACCTAATAAATTGCATTGCTCTGGGCTAATGAGAGACCAGAAATTTCTAAAGCCCCTTGATAACAGTCATATTTATAGAGAATGTTGCTACATGTGAGAGTATTTCTTTGAAGCACATACCTACTCCTTTTATCTCTACTGCCTGTCTCTTTGCACCACTTAAGCTACACTAGTCTAGCCTTTGGGATTCAAGTCTAGCCTTTGGGATTCTTCTTGCTAATTCTAGCAGTGGAAGGGGCCAGTATTACGGCTATTTTTTCTTGCATTTCATTAGAAGCTGTGCATTTTTGGTGCTCAGAATTAGAAAATGCTAAATTTAACCCACATTATCAATAGGAAAGTTGGTCCAAATAAGATTTTAAAATAATTATCAGCATTCAAATTATACCCAGAGATGTCAGCAACATTCCCCTCCCCACAAGCACATATCCCAATATAGTTAAAAGTTCAGATTTGACAATATTGAATAGTAAAAAACATACATTTTGAGGAAATCAGAATATTAATATTGGAATTATAGCCAACACTCAATTTAACCATGGTTATTACACACATTAGCAAAATTCACAGATAATTTAAAACTTTAGCAACTGGTTTCAATATCTTCCTTCAGCAATTTTTTATTAGAACTAGATACATGAACTAAGATCGACTGATATATAATTCCACTTCTCCTCCATATACTGGCTATCTTTTTAAAGAGGAAGAAAAAATGATGAGCAGCAGAGCTATGTGGGAGATGAGGGGGGTGAGGAGGGAGCAAAGAGAGAAAGCAGGAGAAGAGTAAGGAGAGCAGACCTCAAGAAAGGGAAGTGGCAGGAGTGGCTGACAGAATGCTGCAGAAAAAATGGATGTAATGAAAAAATGCAAATCGGTTTTTGGATAATTGAGTGAATGGTATGTATACCTCATTTCTCTTCAAGAATCCACTGTTAATGATTTAAGTAATGCATAATTTCAATATAGTATTCTGCTTAACATTTTAGATACCAGGTTATGGTGTTTACAATCATAGGGTCTATTTTCATGCAAGAAGCTATGCAACCTTATTAGAAAATCAACAGCCTGTTGTGTTTGTGGTCTCAGGTAAATTTTTGACACAACTTCCAAAGGAGTTTAGGTCCTAAAGTTCCTTAACGTTTCTAGTTTTTTTGTGTGTGTGTGTGTGAGGAAGATTGGCCCAGAGCTAACATCTGTGCCCATCCTCCTCTACTTTATATGGGACGCTGCCACAGCATGACTTGACTAGCGGTGCGTCAGTGCGCGCCCAGGATCCGAACCTGCAAATTCCGGGCTGCCGCAGCGGAGCACGTGCACTTAACCGCTACACCACCAGTCCGGCCCCTAACGTTTCTATTTTGAAACAAAAATGTGTAGACTTCCTATTTCTGCTCAAATCCAGTTTGATCAATAGCAAATTGAGCTAAATAAGCACAAATCTAAAGATATCTTGGGGAAGCATCCAGTGTTTTCTGGAGCCTCACGCAAATCAAAATGGAGAGAACAAAAGCTAGTATAAGTGGAATATATGGGGCTTTGCTGCTGGCTCATCAAGTAATCATAATAGTCAAAAACATACAAAAATCAGTTTGAAAAGTACCTCTGTTCATTTGAGAGGTGGCAAAAGGGCTCAGCAAAGATTCAGCATAAAAGACAACAAGGCTGCTTCTCAGAGGACTCACCTGTCTTTCCCAGTTTCCTTCTTAAAAACTCCATCACAGTGACTCATGCGCTTCTCTGTGGTCACGTAAATTTGGGCATTTGGATAGACGTCAACAGTCTTTTTCAACATGTTGTAAACAATGCCGTTGCCATCTTTCCTCATATTGCGGAAAGGGCCCCAAATAACATAAATAGTAGTGTTTGCCTCCTTGAAAAAATAATCAGGGTTTTTTAGCAAAAGCGGAACGCTGGTATGGGACACGACTCGAATTGTTGTCATGTGGCCAACATCTTCTTCATAGCCCCTGGTGGGGGCATTGTTCATTCTCCAAATGCAGGAGCATTGGTCTATTTCATTCCCCACCTTCTGGCCAACCATCTGACCCGAGTTTGACACTATGGCACAGAGGTCACAGTCCAGTTGCAAGGGCTGGAAAACAGAAAGAGAGACAAGGCAGGGAGGAGAAACATGTAAATTAGTAAGCTCTACCTATCCAAACAAATTGCCCTGGGAAAACAAAAAATTCAGCTGTTATGTGTAATTGCTGAGTGTGGGAATATCCCTGAAACATAAATACCAATTCTACAGTAGCTGCCGCAGGTTAGCAAACTGAGGGCATGCTTCCATTAAAAGGCAACTACAGCTTGTTAAGAAATCATTTTAATTTTTATGCCCTTGTGCTGGTTGAAAATTAAATGGAAAAATATGTGTTTTCCACTCTAAATGATGACTTTTCATTCAAAACTGTAATTTCAAATGAAATAAGGAAATACAGAAAGATTTGATCTCTCTAATAAGGATGGTGACTAAAAAAAAGAAGTGCAAAAGAAACACATCCAGTCATCAATTATGTATTTTACTTCCAGGTATGAATGGTTACGTACTATTTGATAAAAATATGAAGAATTCAGCAAACGATGAGGTTTGTTCTGGAAAAGATTTTCGGAACGCAGAATTACTTAAGACAAGTCTCAGGCTAGCAAAAATGTTACAGGAACCTTTAAAAATTCCCTTGTGTCATCATGTTAACTGGCCTTTGTGTTTATGTTTATTCTAGATGGACAAGGAGGGCTTCCTTTAAGACCTCAGAGAAGGGAGGTACAGAGATAGTCTCTAGTGCTGGTCTAACCACCACTTTCCCTTTTTTGAGTCAATGAAGTACACTCATAGAGGTTAAGCATCAGCCTTCAGGACTTGCAGATAATAGATTCAAGTTGCACTGTTTCCTTATTGATCTTCTGTTTGGATGATCTATCCGTTGGTGTAAGTGGAGTATTAAAGTCCCCTACTATTATTGTGTTACTGTCTATTTCTGTTTTTATGTCTGTTAATAATTGCTTTATATATTTAGGTGCACCTATATTGGGTGCG